ACAAAAACACTGGCATAGTACACTGTATGCACCGTTCCACAAGGGTGGCTTCATATGGCCTATAGCAGGGGGTCTGCAACCTTTTTCATGAGTGACAATTTTCAATTGATCCTACAATTTCTAAAGATCTGCGTGCCAGTTATGATTTTCATATAAGCATTGTAGGCTACTCAACTGTGCCCAGAAAATGTCTAACTGCCCACAAACTAAATAGCCTAATTCTAGCTGGCTACTAGACAGAGGCGCTGTGCATTCAGCCACACCCCACAGAGCTCCACTATGCCTACCTGTACCAAGGTGGTGCTGAATCACGGGCGCAGCCTTAATGTGTAGATTTTTCTTCATTCTTCATTTATGCGTACTTGTCGATTGTAGGCCTAAGTAATTCCTTTGATGTATGCATTTGTAGGATTTATCTGGCATAGTTTGCATTCGCAATCAACTGTTTTATGCTTCGGTTACTTCACATTTACATTTAAAAAATGTTTTGTGTCATTTAGCAGACGCTCTTATCCAGAGCGACTTAGTTAGTGAGTGCATACATTTTCATTCTGGCCCCCCGTGGGAAACGAACCCACAACCCTGGCGTTGCAAGCGCCATGCTCTACCAACTGAGCTACAGGGGACATTGATGTCGGTATTTGAAGTCAGCCTTGATAGCCTGTATTATGCATTTATTTCATGTTGCACTGTTCCACAAGTAGGCTAAATGAGTCAATGTAGCCTATGTATGAGGTTGACTAGTACATTGTACATGCCATTCCACAGACCTTTAAACCTAATATAAACCTAATATTGTAGTGATAATGTCTGGGGAACATTTGTTTGTTTTTACTGTTCTCCAAATAGCATTTTAGAGTTTTAAAATTGTTTAGAGGTACAGTAAATTAGCTTCAACTGGAGGATGTATTTCTACACACCCCACTTTGCCATACCTTAAGTTTAGCTGAACTCATGCCACTGCCCCCTGTCAAGATCAGTTTCTTGCTTTGCTCTTAGGAACATGGCATCATTGAAAGGAGTGATTTCTGGAGTAGCGTTAAGTGTGGAGGTGGAGCAATTGAAGTTGAAGATTCCTGGTGTTTGTGATGCCTGCCGTTTGGTGCTACGCAGACCCGGTGGTAAGCATGGTGATACAGAGGAGTCACTGTCAGTCCTTTTGAGTTTTGAGTCAGAGTTTTTACCCGACAAAGTCATGTTAGGATATCAGTTATCCTTTTAGAGCTTTTGTGCCGAATCCACTGCGCTGTTTCAGGTGCAACAGTTTGTAGGAGGGAGATTCCAAGATGTGGGAAGTATGCAAGAGGGCATGAGTGGCGCAGTGGTCTAAGGCACTGCATCGCAGTGCTAACTGTGCCACTAGAGATCCTGGTTCGAATCCAGGCTCTGTCGCAGCCGGCCGCGACCGGGAGACTCATGGGCGGCGCACAATTGGCCCAGCGTCGTCCAGGGTAGGGGAGGGAATGGCCGGCAGGGATGTAGCTCAATTGATAGAGCATGGCGTTTGCAACGCCAGGGTTGTGGGTTCAATTCCCACGGGGGGCCAGTAAAAAAATAATAAATAAAATAAATAAATAAAAATGTATTCACTAACTGTAAGTCGCTCTGGATAAGAGCGTCTGCTAAATGACTAAAATGTAAATGTAATAGAGGATTGTGTAGTTTCGGTGGACAAAGTTGTGTGTGTCAACTGTAGGGGTGCCCATGTTGCTGGGGATCAGAATTGTCTGGTGCGAGAGAGGCAGGTTGAGGTGGCTAGAGTCGTGCAGAAGGTGTCATATGCTGAGGCAGTGAAGAACGTAGAGGATGGGTCAAGGGTGAGGGATCCTGAGAGGATCCCTGTGAGTAGTAGATCTGTGCCAGAACAGAGGGATAGCCCAACAAGTGATATACAGTATGCTTCAGTAAGGTTGGCTTCTTAGCGTTCATAGCAATGGTTATCAACTGTACGGCAGAAATTGAACGTAAATGACAGAAAATAGATGTTGTGGTGGTAGCTGCAGAGAAGTATTTGGGTATACGAGATTTGAATTCCGAAGAGTTACAGGGTGTGTTGAGTGGTGGTGTCCCCAAATGTGTTTACGTCGCTGTTAGGGAGCATTTCTCCTTTGCCAATATAATCCATCCACCTGACTGGTGTGGCATATGAAGAAACTGATTAAACAGCATGATCATTACACAGGTGCACCTTGTGCTGGGGAAAATAAAAGGCCACTTTAAAATGTGCAGTTTTGTCACACAACACAATGCCACAGATGCAGGAATGTCCACGAGAGCTGTTGCCAGAGAACTGAATGTTCATTTCTCTACCATAAGCGGTCTCCATTTGGCAGTACGTCCAACCGGCCTCACAACCGCAGACCACGTGTAACTACTTCAGCCCAAGAACTCCACATCCGGCTTCTTCAACTGCGGGATCGTCAGTGACCAGCCACCCGGACAGCTGATGAAACGGTGGGCATGCACAACCGAAGAATTTCTGCACAAACTGTCAGAAACCGTCTCAGGGAAGCTCATCTGCGTGCTCGTCGTCCTCATCAGGGTCTTGACCTGACTGCAGTTTGGCGTCGTAACCGACTTCAGTAGGCAAATGCTCACCTTCGATGGCCACTGGCACTCTGGAGAAATGTGCTCTTCACGGATGATTCCCGGTTTCAACTGTACCGGGCAGATGGCAGACAGAGTGTATGGCATCGTGTGGGCGAGCAGTTTGTGAACAGCGTGCCCCATGGTGGCGGTGGGGTTATGGTATGGGCAGGCATAAGCTACGGGACATAGCTCCTGAGGCCCATTGTCGTGCCATTCATCTGCCGCCATCACCTCATGTTTTAGCATGATAATGCACGGCCCCATGTTGCAAGGATCTGTACACAATTCCTGGAAGCTGAAAATGTCCCAGTTCTTCCATGGCCTGCATACTCACCAGACATGTCAACCATTGAGCATGTTTGGGATGCTCTGGATTGACATGTACAACAGCGTGTTCCTGTTCCCACCAATATCCAGCAACTTCGAACAGCCATTGAAAAGAAGTGGGACAACATTCCACAGGCCATAATCAATGTGATGGAGATGTGTCGCGCTGCATGAGGCAAATGGTGGTCACACCAGATACTGACTGGTTTTCTGATCCACACCCCTACCTTTTTTTTAAGGTATCTGTGACCAACAAATGCATTTCTTTATTCCCAGTGGTGTGAAATCCATAGATTAGGGCGTAATGAATCTATTTCAGTTGACTGATTTCCTTAAATGAACTGTAACTCAGTAAAATCTTTAAATTGTTGCATGTTGCATTTATATTTTTGTTCAGTGTAGCTACCAATGTTAACCTTTCTTACAGCCAAATGGAGAACAGCAAGTCGCCAACACGTTTCAGCTACAGTAACTGGGATTTTGTTGACAATGTTTGTTGGTCTGGATTTGATGACCGAACGTCCTCTGTCTAAATTTGACACAATACCACAAACCGGCTGGACCGACAGGATGGGCAGAGAGAGGGCTGTTCCATTATCACCTGGGCGACTTGGAGACACACATTTTACCTGGGCCATCTCACTATGTGGCCCAAACTGAACATTCAAAGAGGGATCTAGAAGACAGCCTCAGGAAATATTAAGCATCAAACAAAACTTGGACACCAATCAGTTCAACTTCAACAAAATCAATCCAGAGGAAGTAATTTTTGAGATGTGAAGTAGGCTCCATTTGCTTACTCATCACAAAGGTGGGGGCCCCTGTAAAGTAAATGGACACCCAGGTAATTAACTCTGAAGAATGATGGTGGTGGTCAGTGTTAGACCTTTGGAAATTTGGCCACTGTTTATTAGTTCCAGAGCCCACCCAGTGTTCTCCACAGGTCCTGACCCCCACTGCCATCCAAATCGGATTTGAATTTGTGTTCTGACCCGAGCTTCTGGGTGGGATTAAATAGTCTTGACGCCTTTGCATCGGTCAATCATCTCCACGGATACTACATGAACCAGGAGGTACGCTTACCGTCTGACAGACTTCCCCACCGGCTTTATGTTCTACACTGAAACTGAGGACCTTGAGAAAGTTGTCCATGCCATTAGTCTGGTCACAGACTCACTGGTGGATGGGAACAAGGCGCACAACCTGTTTTTCATCTGAGGTGGGGAGTCTGATGTGAGTGCCAGGAGGGGTATGCCTATTGTTGTGTGGCCCAAGAGGTCCTGCTTTGGTGCCAATTATGAATCTGCCTTCAATGTGGCTCTGTGGGAGCTAGCTGGACATTTACCATTCAAGAACAGACATGACTTTGAACACAGCACTGAAAAAGATGTGATGGCCGTCATTCAGAGGTATCTGCTGCCTGACCAAGAGTTCCTTCAGTTGGAATAGCAACTAACTGCACATTTACATAAATATTTTTAAGCCTGACATACCTGGAAGAGAACATCAGTGTCAGCATAGTATTGAGACAAGTGTCACTGTGGTATATTTTGTCTATAACCATTTAAATTACTGTCCATATGTACAGAGCCTGGTGGTTGACTATGTACTTTGCCAACAATTATTCTTGTCTACAATTCCACTAACTAAAATTCAACTCCCTACACATACTGTCCAAACTGAGTATATGCTTTGTGCTTATTATAGTTATTGGGCATTCAAAAGTAGCTCAACAAATTTCAATGGAATAAAACATACTTGAATTCACAGTACTTTTATTATTTTTCAGATGTATTACCATTAGTAGCTTATTTCCTTTCCTCCCACCATAATATAACTCCAAAAACACACAGGTTGTCTCTTTTTGAGAGCCAGGCTCATTCAAAGGCCTCACAATGGCGAGTTACTCCAGCATTAGGACTACACAGATCTAGGTGAGCAACGTACATGACAGTGGCCTGTGTGGACTTTTTAGAAGTTTAAGCAGCCACTGTCACTGAAATATTTACTGCAATCATTGCACTCATACACATTTTCCCCAGTGTGACTTTTCTGATTACACATGATTGGGTAAAGCAGTTTTTCTACATACAGGACACCTGTATGGTTTCGCCCCTGTGACTCCTCATCATGTGAAATGTCAGACGGAAGCTAGTGCTGAAACACTTGTCACAATGACTGCAGCTATATCCTTTACCTCCTGCATGAATCTTCATGTGCCTTTTCAGACTATTGCGAACGCTGAATTCTTTGCCACAATCAGAACATTGATACGGTTTATCCCCTGTGTGGGTTCTCATGTGCACAATCAGATCCCTATTGCTAGTGAAGCATTTACTACAAACATGACAACACATCCTATCTGCAATGTGAGTTTGGATGTGATGTTTCATACTTTCTGTGGACTCAAAACATTTTCCACACACACCACAAATATGTTCTTTCTCATTTGTATGAGTTTGCACATGTTTCATTAATGAACCCATGTACTGGAAAGACTTTCCACACACTTTACAACGGCAAGGAGCATTATCCCTTTGCCTGGGTGATTTCAGATTGGATGACTCTGTGGATTTTCTACCCTTAGTATTAATGTGGGAGCTTTGTCTTTTTACTGTCCATCTTGTCTTTGATTTGACTGGTTTAAAACCTGACGGAGGCCCTCCGACTCCTATCCCATCAACGTTTTCACTCTGAGCTGCAAAACAGTATGGATTTCCTGCATAGATGGGCTGAGAATCACTGGTTGGTTCTGATACTCTGTAGTCCTCTCCATCAGTTTCTGTTTTGATATGTGCAGTTGAGGTGCTGGGTAGAGAGTCTCTCTCTTCTTTTCCCTCATTCTGGGCTTGATAAAGATATGAGTGCAGAGTTGGGTCCTCACAGTCAGTTTCCATAAAGGCAGAAGTGAATATGGCATCTTTGGTATCATCTTCCAGCTCTTGAAGCTGCTCTTCCCACTGACTGGTCCTGAGTTCCTCCTGTTCCTCCTTTATCTGCGTAGGCTCTGGGTCCTCCTGTCCGAGACTGGGGCTCCATTCCTGCACACAGTGCTGCTGCCCAGGGGGAACCTGTTCCGAGACTGACTGTTGGAGGATGTCTAGAGGCAAGTAGAAAGGAAGGATGCGATATAGAAAACCTGTAAGCCTACAATAGAGAGCAATAGTAATGGCTTGCTGGCCAAAGCCTATGGGGGAAATGAATGGTTTTTTTTTGGTAGGGATTTTGGATAAACACAGAAAATGAGGTCTGTCATAAACACAGGCTCAGATCTTATACGTTTTGTTCTATGAGATCATCTTCATCAGCTAAAATCAGTTTTTGTGAATTGTGAAGCATGTTTGTAATCAAAAGAAGCACATAAAGGCTTCTTAATTCATAAAGGTTATGTTAACTGACTGATATCATCTCATAGAACAAAACGCACTGTATAAGATCTCCTACGCATGTGTTAACCTCGGACCTTATTTTCGGCGTTTATCCCAAAACCCCATTATTTCAGAAGCATCAGACCCTACCGTTCCTGCATTCTTTCCCCATTCATGTCCCTCCGTAGGAACGGCTGAACGAACCAGAGATAACTCATTTCCGGTTTTTAGGACTACAAACGGGCGAGCTCTATGCCAATTCAGATATCAACGACATAACTATGTACCTGTAAAAGCTGATGTGATATTTTCTATCCACTTCCATACAATAACGGTTTAATAGACAGACGTAATTACAAACCTGATCTGTTTAGCTTTATGAGAGCTATTTCAAGCAGCCTCTGTAGACGGTCATTTTCCTCATTTGAACGGGAAACTTCTTCTGCTATCGTTTTTTCAACTGCCCCTAATATCTCCTCAGCAGCAGCACTTAATCGCTCATTGAGAAACACTCTTAACAGCTGTATTTTAGACATTTTAGATTACGTTTAGTAGCATCCGAGCTAGCTAGTTCCTGGTTTCTGTCCGTTTCCGCGCGCACCTCATCTGGCAGGAGGTAACACATTTTGCTTTATCACCACCTGCTGGAGTGGAGTACGACAACATCGGTTCAGCGTTCAGTTTATGGAAATATTTTTAAATACAAAATGCACCCCATGACATATCCTATATTGACTGAAGTATCACTAATCACATATCTGTACATTATATATTAATCCTATAATGTGACCTTCTCAGATGAGATGTGGATACTTTGACGGGAGGGCGGTGTGATATAATTAAAAGTGCCTTAATAATAACACAATAATAATACATAATCATAATGCGTACCAGTAAAATTAGTAAAATACTATTCATTTATTGAAATGTTGATAATACGATATTTGTGCTGTATTTATGTCTGATCTGGGTTTGATTCGTTATACCTAGGAATTCCTATAGGAATTCGTGGTTTTACTGTCAATTGGCCTAATGTATTGGTCGTGGGTTGCAGGGTTTTGGCCTACTTCTAAATTACACCGCGACCGCCATGGCAATTCTCTTTTTAAAAAAAAAATGTATTTCACTGTGACATGCTGCTGCTGACTATCAGGCAATGCTGTTGGTGAGTGATTGATTGAGTGGTGGGGAGGTGCCGGAGGGCTGTGTGTGTAGCTAAATACACTATCGGCTGAGTCATGTGAGTGAGAGGAGACAGAGCAGCACACATGCAGGTCGTGACAACTTTTTACAATTGTAGCCAGGCTATTTAACTTGTCATTATGCGCGAGTGTAAATGTGAAATGGAAGTTATGGAATTCCCTCGCGTGTTTCTGTTATGGGGAAAAGTCCTCAATGAAACGACATTAAATGTGGAGAATTATTGTTTGGCCATCAAGTAGCCTATTAATTTATATGCCATTGTAGGCTACTGTAGGCTACGATTTGATAAAATAAATGTGTTGAAATGACCAGTGGCGACCCGTCGTTCAGGGCCGGTGGTTCTGCTCCACATTTTTAGATAAAAAATAATATAAAATATATCTATGTTTTGGCTTGCCTGTTTTGCATGTTATTTTGGCATTAATACGTGTCACATATCAGTTTGCAAACAATGTAAAACATGTATTTTTATTTTTATCATTGAGTTAATAAATCCACATACAAACATGGTCTCTTTTTTGCTTTCTTGAGTAAGGCGGCTCCAAAATGCAGGTGTTTCAGCCTAGATCAGTGGTTTCTGTGGTGGTGGGGCAGCCAGCGGAAAATACAGAGCGTAGGTGTTGGTAATGTTCTCTAGTTGCTCAGTGTTCTGTCACTGGTGGGGATAGTACCTCACCGCCAAGTCTAAGGGTAGAGCTCGAAAATTCAAGCCCCTTGGGTGCTGCCATAGAGTTACATTAGAAGTGCCCATCCAAGAAGGCTCAAGGTCATTGGCCACAGATAAAATGATGTCAAATCACGTTATATCTACAGTAGCTTTGATTGGCCTGATCATGTCAACATCATACTTTCAAAATCTTAGCTAGCAGTCATCATCATGAATCAAGTTGACAATCTACTGGCAAATCCTTTTTATTCCTTGTCATATGAAGATAAATAATGAACATAAATTATAGATAAAACATATCGGTGCTCATCGGCCATTGGACATAAACATTACACAACAAGTTGGAAATCGCAAATTCAATAATGAGTGGTTTGGAAGGAATCAGTGGCTAACTGCAAGCATTGCAAAGCAATCACTAGCCTGCTATTCAGTGGAGTGGCTGTGTGGTCCCAAATCTGGGATTAAGGGTCTCTTTTCCAAGTTTAAAATTATAAACATTCAACATTGGCCATGCTGTCAATGAAGCATGTGTTGTTTATAAAGAATAATGCTAATCTTTGCTGTGAGACCAAGGAGTCCGCTTACACTGTACTTTGATTATAAAGGTTTATTTATATCACAAGATTTCAGCATAAGTTTACAGACGTCTGCAGGCATCTGGAGAACAATGACTCGAAAATAATGTTGTTCTGACCTCCTTTGTCTCAACCAAGTATTTATAATCTTTACCATGATATGGGTGGTTTCCCATACAGACCAATCCCATGAGACTTCCTCTGTTTTATGGGGTGCCCCTATAAAACTGCTCCCCAGATGCTTCCCTAAGCTGAATCAACATCCTCCAAGATACCATTTGAAAACGTTAGCAAAGTCATAAATTCCTCAGATACCACACATGATTTGTGCCACCCTCAAAACAACTGTTAACTCGGCACTACGAAAACTTGACTTCAGTGAGTTCAAGACAACTTGGGAAAAAATGAACTCCGACTGGGAAAATACATTTTGAACGGTCATCCAACTCAGAATTGTAAATCCGGAAGTCGGGTCTCTTTCTAGAGCTACGACCTGAAGATCAATGACGTCATCATGATTCGACCTTGTTTTGAAAGCACCATACACTACCAGTCAAAAGTTTGGACACACCTACTCATTCAAGTTTTTTATTTATTTTTATTTTTATACATTGTAGAATAATAGTGAAGATATCAAAACTATGAAATCACACATATGGAATCATGTAGTAACCAAAAAAGTGTTAAACAAATCAAAACATATTTCATATTTGAGATTCTTCAAATAGCCACCCTTTGCCTTGATGACAGTGTTGGAAATTGTTTAGTGGACTATGAGATAAAACTGAGTTAATCATGAACATATAGTTAACATTCTTTGTGGCTAACTGTGTGCATTATCCTGGTTGAGGTGATGCACAAATTAGACAGCTAAATCGGGTAAAAAAGTAGGTCATCCGCTGTAGGTGACACCATAAATTGGAAGTCGCGCCGTTCATCTCAGGTAGGTGAACGGTTGTGAATGCCACCAGGGCTTCAAAGTATAGAGAAATAATAAGATAGAGTAGGTCTGCTCATCTCGTACGGGGGAATGGTTTGTTTGAGCGGCTGTGGTTCATTCACTTGTGATTAAGTTGTATGTTTCATCTGTCTCATTCAGGTTGCTCATATGGTCAGCTTGATCAATTAGCTTTGTTCAAACGCCTGATACATTTGGTCGTCCTGCGGGTCATTCTGTCTGATTCATTTAAGTGCGAGTGGCTGTTTATCTGTGTGAGTGATCGGACAATAAAAAGAAATCCTGCAAATAAGTCTTTTCTGTAAGTGACAGGAAAGGGACTATATTTGAGGTCGTTTGAAGCTTCTAAAAGCTGGTGGAGAAAGGGCATTCCCATTAGGAAGAGGAGAATGAATAGTATGTGGATATTCATTTTCTAACGTGAGTTACTGGGAGGAGAAGATCAGAAGGTGTGTGTGTGTGTGTCTTTTCTCGGAGGGGTATGACAAATCCTGTTGGAGGAACAGGTCACGTGTACGGGGGTGATCATATGACGTCAACACATAGAATTTCGGTCAAGCTTTTAGGGGGTAATTAAAGTTGGGAAATGTAGAAGTAATATAGGATTATGGTAAAATTGACCACAGTAAAATAATAACTGTGATATGGTTAACATTCCAAATTGGGGCCCGTTGGTAGAATAAAATATTCCTGTAGGTTATGCAAATAGTGATTAAGCGTGTTTGAGAACAACGTTGTGTGAATGTGAAATGAGGATGGGATAAATGTGGAAAATGAGTCATACTCTGAGGTTTGGATAATGGGATGGAGAGGATGTTATGACTGAGGGACGGGGGTCTAGGTAATTAAGTTGATGTTCCGCTGGGACTAGATTAGGGTAAACTAACTTGTGGCGATAAAGAATTATTAGAAATACGAATGGTTTGGTTAATATGAATATATTAGAATATTATGTATGTTATGTGCGGGTAATTGATTAGTAGAGAGTGGATTAAAGTGGAATAATACAGTGGGGGAAAAAAAGTATTTAGTCAGCCACCAATTGTGCAAGTTCTCCCACTTAAAAAGATGAGAGAGGCCTGTAATTTTCATCATAGGTACACGTCAACTATGACAGACAAAATGAGAAAAAGAAATCCAGAAAATCACATTGTAGGATTTTGAATGAATTTATTTGCAAATGATGGTGGAAAATAAGTATTTGGTCAATAACAAAAGTTTCTCAATACTTTGTTATATACCCTTTGTTGGCAATGACACAGGTCAAACGTTTTCTGTAAGTCTTCACAAGGTTTTCACACACTGTTGCTGGTATTTTGGCCCATTCCTCCATGCAGATCTCCTCTAGAGCAGTGATGTTTTGGGGCTGTCGCTGGGCAACACAGACTTTCAACTCCCTCCAAAGATTTCCTATGGGGTTGAGATCTGGAGACTGGCTAGGCCACTCCAGGACCTTGAAATGCTTCTTACGAAGCCACTCCTTCGTTGCCCGGGCGGTGTGTTTGGGATCATTGTCATGCTGAAAGACCCAGCCACGTTTCATCTTCAATGCCCTTGCTGATGGAAGGAGGTTTTCACTCAAAATCTCACGATACATGGCCCCATTCATTCTTTCCTTTACACGGATCAGTCGTCCTGGTCCCTTTGCAGAAAAACAGCCCCAAAGCATGATGTTTCCACCCCCATGCTTCACAGTAGGTATGGTGTTCTTTGGATGCATCTCAGCATTCTTTGTCCTATAAACACGACTTGAGTTTTTACCAAAAAAGTTATATTTTGGTTTCATCTGACCATATGACATTCTCCCAATCCTCTTCTGGATCATCCAAATGCACTCTAGCAAACTTCAGACGGGCCTGGACATGTACTGGCTTAAGCAGGGGGACACGTCTGGCACTGCAGGATTTGAGTCCCTGGCGGCGTAGTGTGTTACTGATGGTAGGCTTTGTTACTTTGGTCCCAGCTCTCTGCAGGTCATTCACTAGGTCCCCCCGTGTGGTTCTGTGATTTTTGCTCACCGTTCTTGTGATCATTTTGACCCCACGGGGTGAGATCTTGCGTGGAGCCCCAGATCGAGGGAGATTATCAGTGGTCTTGAATGTCTTCCATTTCCTAATAATTGCTCCCACAGTT